GCTATTTCACTAGAACAACTCACAGAACTCAAGAAAGCCCTATGCCTGTGATTAGTTTAATTATAAAGGGTACAACTCAGGAACTACACAGTGGTTGTTGCATAGGGCAAGGTCCTATGGGAAGGGGTGGAGTACAGGGCTTCCATACTCCATCCAGAAGTACCACCCTCCCAGCACATCAGTGGTTTCACCAACCTGGAAGCTCTCCAGACCTCCTAGTTCTAGAGTTTTTATTGAAGTTTCATTACACGGGCACAATTTGTTACAACATTGGCTATTGGTGATTGAGCTCTGTCTCTAGCCTCCTGGAAGTCAGGTGGTGGGGCTGGAAGTCCCAACCCTCTCATCACGTGGTTGGCTCCTCTAGCAACCAGCCCTATCCTGAGGTTATCTAAGGACCTTCCAAGTCACCTTATTTGCATAAACTCAGGTATGGATGAAAAGGGCTCCTTACGGATAAGACATTCCTATCAGTCAGGAAATTCCACGGCTTTTAGGAGCTCTGTGCCAAGAACTGGGACAAAGACCAAATGTAGCTATTTTTTATTTTTCTATGTATATATCGTCTCTAAAATTTGTTCCTGCTTCTTTGTAATCAAACTATATGTAGTCTTTTTTTTAATGAATCTGTTTCCTTTTACTCAGAATAATTATTTTGAGATCCAACCATGTTGTAGCAATAAATTATTTCCTTTTTATTGCTGAATATTATTTCATTATATGGATATCCACTCATACCTGACCATTCATTCACCCACTGTGGACATTTGGGTTGTTTCCAGTGTTTGATCATCACAAATAAAGCTGCTGAGAATATTCATGTACGAGCCTCTGTACGAGCGGATGCTCTCATTTCTCTAGGAATGGAATTGATGGATTATATCGTGGTTTATGTTTAACTTATTATGAAACTGCCCCGTTGTTTTCCAAAGTGTTTCCTTTTATATTCCCGCTAGCAGTGTATAGGAATTCTAGTCATTCTACATCCTTGCCAGTGGGTGGTATGGTCAGTCTTTTCTAATTTTAGCTACTCGAGTAGGTATGTAGTAATATCTTGTTGTGATTTTAATTTGCCTTTTCCCAGTGACTAACGTGGGGCAGCTCTTCATATGCTTATTTGCCATCCACATGTCTTCTTGGGTGATACGTCTGTTCACATCATTTGCCCATTGTTTTTTACTGGGTTGTTTGATTTGTTATTCTTGAGCTTTGAAAGACCTTTATATATGCTGGATACAGTTCCTTAATCAAATATATGACTTGCCAGCATTTTCTCTCAGTCTGTGGCTTGTCTTTTAATTCTCTCCAGTGGCTTCTGAAGAGCAGAATTAAACCAAAATTCAATAACAGAAAGATACCTGGAAATCTTCAAATATCTAGAAATGGGTCCACCCAGTTCAAGGAAGAAATATTAAGAGAAATATTAAAATTGATTGAATGAAAATGAAAACAGACTTAATGTCTGTGAGATACAGCTAAGTCAAGGCCTAGAGGAAGTTTTATAACATTAAATGGTTATATTAGAAACATTTAAATTCATTCATCTAGCTTTTTTAGAAGTTAGAAAAGGGGCAAATTAATCTCATGGTAATTAAAAGCATTTAAATAACAAAGAGTGGAAACCAATGAAAGATAAAAAGTATAAATAGTAGAAGAAAATGAAACAAAAAGTAATAATCAATACAATTGATAAACCTCTAGCTGGACTGATCGAGGAAAAAAAACACAGTTTAACAACAAAGAGTGAAGAACTATCACTCAATCTTGCATTGAAAAAACAGTGAGGAAATACAATCAACTTTCAGTAATCTGACAACTTAGATGAAATAGACAAACTCCTTAAAAGATAGAAGTTATCAATATGAAATACCAATACAAGAAGAAACAGAAAATATGACTAGCCCTGTGTCTGTGAAAGAAATGGAATTTGTAATTAAAAACCTTCCCACAAAGAAAATTTGAGGCTAAGATGGCTTCACTGATGAGTTCTAGCAAACATTTAAGGAAGAATTAATACTGTCTTACACCAACTCTTTATTATTACTTTATTATTAAATTCAATTTAATTTTGAATTAAATTAAATAAAAAGGAATGAGTCCCATCTTACTTTATGAACCACATTATCCTGATACCAAAACCAGAGAAGCTATTATAAGAAAAGAACAAGACTTGCACACTGAAAGCTATAACATAGTAATAAGAGAAATTAAAGAAGACTTAGATAAATGGAGAACCATGTCATATTTATACATTGTACACTTAATATTATTAACAGGTTAATGTCCCCCAAGTTGGTTCAACAAAATCCCCGTCAAAGTGTCAGCAGGCTTTTTCCTGGGAAGAAACTTCCATGTTGATTTAAAAAACTTACAGGCAGTGAACCTAGGATAGCCAGAAAAACAAATAACAAAACCAAATGCAATAAAACAAAGTTTGGAAGACTTAGATGGCCTGATTTCAAGACATACTAACCCTAAAGCAATCAAGATAATACAGTATTTTTATAAGGATAGTTAGATATATAGGTCAGTGTAACAGTACAGTCCAAAGATAGACTTACATATATTTAGTGGTTTTTTTTAAATTGGAGTATAGTCAGTTTACAATGTGTCAATTATTTCTGGTGTACAGCATAATGTTTTAGTCATAAATATGCACACATACATTCGTTTTCATATTCTTTTTCACTATACATATTTAGTGTTGAATCAACAAAGATGCCAGGATAATTCAATGGGGAAAGGATAGTTCTTTCAACAGCTGGTACGATAACAATTAGATGTTATAAGGCAAAAAAGAACCCTGATTCTTACCTTGCGTCATACACAAAAATTAACCTGAAATGGAGCTCAGACCTAAACATAAAATCTAAACTTTAAAATTTCTAAAGGAGAATACAGGTTAAAATCTTCAGGACCTTGAAATGTGAGAAATTTCTTAGCGGCCTGTCCGCCAAAGAAATAACCAACACATTGGAACTCATCCACGAAACACTTGCGCTCTTAGAAGGACTTCGTGAAGGAAGTGAAAAGGCAAGGTGCAGACCTGGAGAAAATATTATCCTCGCATCAATTTGTCATCGGATTGTTCCCCAGCTGTGTAAAGAAATTTTACAACTGAATAATAAGACTAACAACTCAACTAAAAGATAAGCAAAAGATTTCACTACACACCTCATGAAAGAAGAGATGTATATATCCCAATAATCATGTCCAAAGACGTTCTCAATCACCATCCATTAGAGAAATGCAAATTAAAATACAAACTAAATCAAATGCTACTCTACACCCAACAGAGTGGTTAAAGCTAAAAAGACTGACAACCGAAGTATTGGCAGGGGATGTGGAGCCACTCGAACAGTCATACGTTGTTGGTGGGAATGTAAAATCCTACGACCAGCTTGGAATATGGTTCAGCGGTTTCTCATAATGTTAAATACAACTTACCATATGACTGCCAATTTCACTTGTAGATATTTACCCGTGAAAAATAAAAACACATGCCCATGAAATGATTTATACACAAATGTTTAAAGCAGCTTTATTTATAATAGCCCCAAACTGGAAACAACCCAAATGTCTATCAACAGATGAACAGATAAACAAATGGTAGAATATTCATACAATGACACACCACTTGGCAATAAGAAAGAGCTAAATACTTACGCACGCAACAATATGGCGGAAGCTTGTTTATGCCGAGTGAAAGAAGCCAGACACAATATACAACATATTGTATGATTTTATTTACACAAAATTCTAAAACTGCAGCAAGTCGTCCGTATTAACAGAAAGGAGATCAGTAGTTGCCTGGATCCTAGAATATGGGGAGATTGATTGCCAAGGAGCACCTTTTGGGGGTGAGGGAAATATTTGATGTCTTGATTGGGTGAGTATTATATGTGAAAAGCTCATTTAATGGTACACTTAAATATGTACTTAATTACATATCAGTTAAACCTATACCAATTAGTTTGTTTCAAAAAGTAAAAAAAAAAAAAATGGGGGGGATAATGCCAAATTGCTGCCCATCAGTGGATGACAGAGATTTAATTCCTACTTTGTCTATTCGGGTAATTGCTTTTGGGGTTCACTTATTGAATGATTCCTCCTTTCCCCATTTGTCTGCCTTGCCACTTTATTCCGTGTCAAAGTTCCATGTATGTGTGGGTCAGTTTATGGGCGTTCTGTTCCATTTTATTGATCAGTTTGTTTATCCTGTCTTAATTATCTTAGCTTCATAATAAGCCCTGTTGTCATTTTTTCCCTTCAGAAATGTCTTGGCTGTTCTTAAGCCTGCATTGTTTTGCATACATTTTATAAAGAGCTTGTCTGTTTCTGTGTTCTAGGAAAAATCCTGTTGAAATATTGTTTGGGATCTTAATTGATTTTATTCATGAATCGGGGGTAGACTTTGAGTTTTTGCAATATTAAATCTGCCTGTTCCTAACTGGTGTATCTTTACATTAAGATCTTCTTCAACGTCTCTCAGTACAATTTTGCAACCTCCCTGTAACGTTCCTCCCTGCACATATTTTGCAAGATTTATTTTAAGGCATTTGGTGTTTCTTATTTCTATCATAAGCAAAATCTTCCTTCTAATTAAGCTTTCTCATGGTTTATCACTGATATAGAAATGTGTGTTTTTTTTAATATTAATCATACATCTGGGGAACATTTGCTTTTGCTTTAGAAGGAAACTCATTAATCGATTAGCAGAATTTGTCACGTGTGTGTGCACGCTTTTAATATTTTTGGAAAGTGGTGGTGTTGAGTGAGAGCTTTCCCAAAGTCCTCAAGTTATTTTTCGTATGTGTAAGTTTGGCCCCGAGTCACAGGAGAGGGTCCTAGCTGCAGCTGTGACGTTTCCAGCTTGAAATTTAGTCAGCCGGTCACGCAGTCACGGAGGTCAGTACCAGGGGTCTCTCGTCAAGCAAGTTTCCTTGCACAAAGACATCTGCGTACTTGCCATTCTAGGGGTGGTTGCGTGTGACGCAGGCTGTCATTGTTAAACCCGTGTTACTCTTCTCTTCTAGTATCCGGAGTGTGATGCAGAAGTATCTGGAGGAGAGACATGAAATCACCTTTGATAAGATTTTTAATCAGAAAATTGGTAAGTCTGCTCGTTTGTTTGGCAAACTGTAATTCCAGTAGTGGTATCGGGTATCCTTGCAGAAGTGTATAAATGCAGCCCCTCCTGCTTTTACAGGCTTTATAGCTTCAGCTGGGAATGAAGGAGATTGCGTGTAATTCGTAAGATGCTAATTGGTTACTTATATTCCCGGTAATATCTCTTGTCAGTAAGCTATTGGGAAACAGAATCGTTTGACTTTAGGTTTTAAGGCAGTTTGGGAGGTGGGGGGGCTCCCCAAATCAAAGGACTGGGCATTGGTTACCAGAAAGAAACCCTCTCTGTTCAGACCTGAATCTGAGGTCTGCAGCTTCTCTGACTGTTCTCGAACTTTCCGTGATCACAGGGCGTTGGCGTGTGTCTTCACAAGCACCACCCCACTCTCGTGGTTGGCTGTCTCCTTCCAAAGTGGGGGGCTGATGAGCTTTCACGGGATTATGGGTTTCTTATGGCACTCATGGTTGTCAGTTCCACATCAGTTACTCTCACTCTCTTGGTTCCATTTGGAATCTCTACTTAGCAGGTCCCCAGGACTCCCTGTCGTGTACACAGAGCTCAAGGACCCATCGCTCACTGGCCGATGCTCTCTGGCTGGTGCTAGTCTTGGCCTGTGCAGATGTGTGGTTGTGCAGGAGTGTTCCGTGGTTACCGACGGTTAGTGCCCCAGAGAAACTGGGACAGGACAGGAATTGCCTTAGTGGGAACTTCAAGGCCCACAAAGGGATGAAGTGTAGTATTTTCTCACCTGCCTTCTGAAAGGCTGCAGTTTGTTTAGAGGTGACTGTTGGCCGGGTTAGATGAGAACGTCGTCTGCATTTTTCCTCCCATTCCCCCAAATCATTTCATGCTGTTAGCAATGTCCTAAAAAGCACTTTATTCTCAAAGATAGGACCCATCATTCGACCTCCTAGCTGGCTACAAGGTAAATTTGCCCTTAGTGATGTCATAAGCAGATAATGCTGGGGTTTTTACATGAAAATAGCATAGCTGATATAAAACTAGGAAGTTCTTTTTCTCTCTTTGCATCTTGTTTGCCTCTCATAACTATTCACACGAAGTTTATAGAGGAACTATGTCTCAGTTTGTAAATTAATTTAATCCTAGAGGAAATTAAAACTGCAAGGAGTTAAGGTCCTACCAAAGTTTCCCAGAACTCTACGTCTGCATTTATTTCTCGGTCCGTGATTCATAGACACGGACTGACTGACCCACTCGAGACTGAATATTCTCTGAGATAATTCCAGGTCCCCCTTCCATTTACAGGTAAGGAGGTGTAGACTTAGGTCGGTGAAGTGACTTGTTCTGATCTGACATTCTCCTTCTCTGATAGTTCTTCAAAGACTCTTGGAAAGGAAACCATGACTGTAAAATATACTGTAGAGGGTCACCCAATAAAAGCCAGATAGATTTTTTTTTTAATTTTTAGAAAGAGTTATGGTGACTTGTTTTGTTCAAGTAAAGCAGAAATTGGTGCGGAAAGTCCCTAGATTTTTGTGAATGACTTTTTGTCAGAAATTAGCCATCTATGAAGGCAGTCTTCTGTAGATACGGCTTCTGTGATAACCCACAAAATACAGCGGTCAGAAGGTGGGTGGGTGCCGTGGAGAATCAGGCCCGCTCTGCGGACGGCGCATGGGGCTGATGGCCCCTCTCCAGGTGGAGACATTTCATCCTGATCATCATGATTTGGTGGGGGAGCAGATTTGGTTTCCATCTCATCCTTTATTGCTTCTCGTTGCTTTCATGGTGTTTGGTTAACTGCCATCTATGTAAATGCTCCCCTGTGCTGCTGTCTTTATCCTAAAAAAAAAAAAAAAACCCAGAAAACAAAACTGTCATGATAACAAGATTGAGAAACTCTGTGTCTTTGGGAGGAAAGGGAAAAAAGGAATTCTCTGTTACTTAAAGAAAAACTTTTTTTCTTTTTGGAGGGGCAGGTAATTAGGTCAGTTAGTTAGTTAGTTAGTTTATTTACTGGGGGTACTGGGGGTGGAACCCAGGACCTTGTGCCTGCTGAGCACAAGCTCTGCCACTGAGCGATACCCCACCCTACTGAAACTTTCAAGAATGTTTTACAGCTATGTCGAGATATATTTATATAGCATAACATTCACCCATTTCCTGTATACAGTTCAGTGGGTTTCCACAGAGTTGTGCGACCATCCCACAGTAGAACGTTTCAACAGCCCAGAAAGCAACTCCGTACCCGCCCGCAGACCCTCGCCACTCTCCCCCTGCCCCTCAGCCCCCAGATGGCACGGATCTAATTTCTTCCTTCTTGGAGTTGCCTGCGTTGGACACTCCACATCAACGGACTCGTATAATACGTGGCCGTTTGCGTCTGGCTTCGCACAGCCCGCTGTTTTCGGGGTCCGTCCACGCTGTAGCGTGTGTATCAGGACCAAGTTCCTTTTTGTACTTGGTAATACTCCACTGTGTGGATATGCCATGCTTTGTTTATCCATTCGTCTGCTGATTGCTTCCACTTTTTGGCTCTTATGAATAACGCCACTGTGAGAGGAAGGTATCTTTTAACGTGTCATTTGAGCAAGTGGTTCCCTTAAGTCGTTACTAAGACATCCGGGGGGTTGTGACCAGCCTGCCTTGCTTCCAGTGTCTGAAATGCATCGAGGACTCTCTCTCTTTGTGGTTTCTGCTCCTTGCTCTCCCTTCTGTCAACCCCTTGCCTGTCTGCCGCCCGGCCCCCACCCCAACACGCAAGCCCCAAACGCCTCTTTTCCATCATTGTTGCGATTAAACCCTCACCTGAAGCCGACCCAGGAGCCTTTGATCTCTGCCTCTAATGGCATTAACTCCAGCCTCACAGATCCTTCCCTGAGAGCAGCTTCACTGGGCACTGATGGTCTGTGACTTTGATCTCAATTAAGCCGTTAAAAAAACGAAACTTGATTGAGATAGGTAAATAACTCCTTTCCTTCCTCCTGACTCCTAAGCTTGGAGCCGGTGAGCCGGTCGGGGGAGGGGGCCAAGGTTAAACTTGGAAGGTCACAGGAGAGAACAGTGATGGGCTGGGGGTGGGGACAAGGTAAACGCGCCCGGCACAGATCTGTCATTATGTTGAGACAGAGCTCTCTATATTTAACGTGTCTGGGGCTTGTCTGTCTGGTCCCTCTTTTTGCTCCGCGGCATTCCCATTTTCCGGCTGGTGTAAGCAAGGGGTTGGTTATCCTAACCAATGAAAGTGGTGAGTCTTAGCTTAATATTTAATGATGATTCTTTAAATCTGAGTCTATACTCAGATTTTTCTGATTAAGTTAAAATGTCCTTTAACTCTTGGTTTTCTGCAATCAGGATCTGTATTGAAATTGGTAGTAATGCACCTTTAATCTAGAACAGGCACCTCACCCCATTCCCCGCACCTCACCCCCACCCCCCAGGAAACTGATGCACTGAAGAAACTGGTTGTATTGTAGAGTGCTCCACATTCTGGATTTTTCTTTTTGCTTCTTGATGATGTCACTTAAATTGCGCTTCTGCTTCCTAAATTTCCTGTAAACGGGGAGCTTGCTGTGCCGACAGCTTGATCAGCGTTAGGTTCGGACTTTGTAGCGGGAGGCGCGGGAGAGGAAGGGGTTGCTCTGCAGGCACTTCCCTAAAGTGGGCTCAGGTGCGGTCGGCCGGCCGGTTCCTCGTTCGGCTGTCATCTGCCATCTGTTTCATTTTCACTGACGATCTTTGCCTAAATCGATTATTTTATTAGGAAGTTACAAAATGGTGAGTTTTCTCATGACGCCATCGCTCCCACTGCTTTTAACACATCAGCTAGGGCTGTTTATTTGCCTTTAAAGACAGTCAGGTGTGGTTGGCAGATTCCTAAGCCCAGCGCCCAGGACGTTTGCCTCCAGGTGTTACTCCCAGGGGTAACCCGGCTGCAAGAGATGCTGCAGATGTAACCGAGGTGGTGTTCTGGGTGGGCTGGCTCTGCTCACCCCAGCCCTTTGAAAGCGGAGAATCTCCTCGGGCCGGCAGCGGAAGAGGAAGTCGGAGAGACAGAAGCACAGGGAAGATTGGACATACCCTTGCCAGCTTAGCAGACGGAGGGGACCCCTGAGAAGGATTGTGAGTGCTCTCTGGGAGCTGAGGGTGACCCTTCCATGACAGACAGCAGGGACACAGGGACCTCAGTCCTGCAGCCATCTGAACTGCATTCTGCCCACGACCTCAATGAGTTTGGAAGCAGCTTCCTCCCTGGTGCCGCTAGATAAGAACCCAGCTTGCCAACACCTTGATTTTGGCTTTGCGAGCCCCCTGAACCGAAAACCCAGCAGAGCCCACCAAGACGCCAGACCTCCAGAACTGGGAGGTATTTATTTGTGCTGTTTTTAAGGCACTTAATTGGTGGATTTTTGTTACACAGCAGTAGAAAGTTAAGAGAGCAGAATAAATATTTAGTTGTTTGTTTCTAATTTCCAGTTTTCAGAATAAAAAAGGTTGAGTGACAGCTGCCTTTATCCTCCTCATCCTTACATAGAAATTCTATAGAAATTCTGCATCTTCTAGGACATCAATTAAGTTGATTCCTAATTTGCCGTCAGTAAAACACTCACTTAGGTATTGACATGATGTCCCTGATTTGGCTCGTTGAAAGATTGGTTTCAAAGGGATACTGGTTACCGGACAGGAAAATCAGTTATGTTTAAGATGATTTTGCTACCATTTTCTTCTGTGATAGACTGAAAGGATAATTTCATCATACAAAAGTGGGGTGCATAGCACGTGGTAAATTCCATCTGTCTGTTGACAATCTACTCAGCTTCTCTGTCTGCATACCCTCTCCTGTTAGGGAAGGATGTTTCTGATTATAAGGAGACTCCAAAATAGATGCTTAATTCATAAAGTATGCAAATGTTACTCTCAAGTACGAAGAACATCATGGTTAATGTAATATTACATCACATCATTATTGTCACGGAAGACCTTTCGTTTTCTCACACTGACTTCAGAGCTTAGTCCAGAATTTG